GATTACCTGTATTGTCTGCAACGCGTATGCAACATTACGCAGTATTCCTGGAATCTTTTGATTACAAGATTCGATTGCGTAAATCTAAGGAGAATGGCTATGCAGATGCACTATCGAGGCTTCCTGTAAATGATTGCAGCAAAACAATCAGCGAGATTGATTGTTTTCGGAAGTGTGAGCCTGCCGACAGTTTTGGAATCGACCCATCCGAATTTCCGCTGAGAACTAGAATAATACAAGAATTTCATTCGGGACATTTTGGTGTATCAAAAATGAAGTCACTTGCCAGAGCGTATTGTTGGTGGAAAAATTTAGATAAGGACATTGAAAAAGCGGTTGCTGGATGTTATGAATGCCAAATTGGGCGACCAGATGTAAAGAAAGAACCTGTTCATTGCCGGTTAACTCCGAAGAAAGTTTTCGAAAGGGTGCATGTGGATTACGCTGGTCCCTTTTTGGGCAAAAATTTTTTTGTACTGGTGGATGCTTTCAGTAAATGGCCGGAGGTAAGAATAGTTCGAGACATTACCACGGAGACGACAATCGAAATATGTAGAAGTATATTTGCGCAATTTGGAATACCAAACATTCTAGTCAGCGACCACGGGACGCAGTTCAAAAGCGCGAAATTTCAAAAGTTTTTAAAACAAAATGGTATCATGCATAAGTTGGGGGCACCGTACCACCCTGCAACAAATGGTCAAGCGGAACTTTTTATACAAACCTTTAAGACCAAGTTGAAGTCAATGCCTCGTAAGGAGGAGTTACAGCGAAAAATTGATCAAATTTTATTGGCATATCGACGAGCAATTCACCCGGTTACGAATAAATCACCAGCTATGACAATATTTGGGCGACAAATACAAAGCAGATTGGACCTCCTACTGCCCAACAATGAAGTCCGAGACCCCGAAAGACAGAAAACTACAAGAGAGTTAGCAGTAGGAGACGCTGTGATGGCTCGGGATTATATGGATAAGCTTAAGTGTAAGCCTGGAATAGTAAGAGAGAGAATTGGTGATTTGCATTACAAAGTGAGGCTGGAAGATGGTAGGTGTTGGAACAGACACATTGATCAATTGAGAAAGATTAATGGAAGACTAATGCCGGATAACGAAGTTGAGGAAACACATGGTGCTAGTTATGAGCCATCAGATTTAACTCTTGAGAAGAGAGAGAACGCTACAAGTACGAGTAATGCGGAACGAGAAGCCACAGACGAATGCGTGATTTCAGACAATCGAGATCAGTCCTTCGCAATGCCCCCAAGTTCTCCGGGATCAACATTCATCAGATTTGAAGAGCCAGCAGGGAATGGCGAGGCAGTCAACATAAGAACGAATCCTAGGAGGAATATACGGCGACCTCATCGGCTAAATGATTATGTTATCGATACGGATTGAAATGTATTAGTGTTTGTAGTTTTAAGTATTTTATTGAATTCATTTTATTATTTTTGTTATAAGAGGGGAGAGGTGTTGTATACGTTACGTATTCAGTAACTACTAAACTACTATCGATGTAAGCATATGTAATAAACACCATCACTCAGTTGTTATGAGTTACCCGAAGGCAACAGTTGTTTCACTAGCAGACCGGGATATATAATAAATAGTTTGACGCAGGTTCTTAAAATATTCAGTGTGTCGTTAAAATGTTACAAGGAAAAGTTACTTCAATATGCAGATGTTCATGGATTTTAATGTATATATTTTGTTAAATATTTATAGCTTATTTATCCTATGTTTGGTTTCATATATTTTTATTTTTCGTATGTTTTATTTTGAATTTATGAATTGATTAATAATTAATCGTTAATTAATTTTAAGCCTTTGGAGTAGTTCAGGTATTGTTGTTTATGATATGATTAAGTGATATATTGTTAATTTGAAGCTTTTGGAATAGCCCATGTAATGAAGTTTTTGGAATCACTCAATGCCCTTTGGGCTAGGTTCTCCTTTATGAAATAAATTGAATTAAATTAATTCATTTTAATTTCAACGATAAGAAAATGTGAGTTTGCTTGTTTCAATAGTTAACCTTAAAAACGAGAAACTAGAACTAGATTAGCATTGTTTTATAGCAATAAAATTACAAGTAATGTCAATGCCGAGTTTACATACACTGTATTGTTCCCTCCTAAGGAGAGAATAGGAATCTGGGTTGTAAACAAATCAAATGGTTGTAAACAAATCGAGTTATTTCATTGACGAGCCGCTTAAATCTATTCAGATGTAAGCCCACTGCGCCTGTAATATCTTCAAGTCCATAGTTTACCTGCGACATTAGTTAAGCATGAGCTACTCTATACCATACAAATAAATAGGTTTTACATTCATCAAGATTTGTGTGCATTGACAGACCATTTACATAGAGTATGAATAGTAGTGACTCTAAAACAGATCCTTGTGAAACCCTCGATAAAATAGGCAAAGAATCTGATCTAACTCTATTATACATAAGAAATTAGGACTTTCCCCTCAGATAAGAGTAAATAAGTCTGCATGCAGAATCACAAAATCCAAACTCTTCCCTTAATTTAGCTATTAATCGATCATGGTTAATTAAATTAAATACTTTGGATAAGTCCAGGGGAATAAGAATCCTAAGCTTTCCAACACTAACATTCCCCCTAATTTAATGGGTCACGCTTAGAAGCAAATGCGTTGTATTGTATCCCGATCTAAATGCATACTGCGATTCGCAGATTTTAGGCGCAGATTTAGGATAGGCGTGTTGTGCCTATTTTCCAACACTGAGAAAATTACATTAAAATGCAGTTAACGAGATCTGTAGTAATAGTTGATACATAAGGAAAAATAGTATTAATAAATTGAATACAATTGAAGTCACCAACGGAAATGATATTAGGTTGGTGTGAGAAGAAATCACGGTGATAATATTCAAAATCATCTATGTTGCCTGTAGAAAGGTAAACAACTCTGAAAAATATTTTCACATTGTTAAGTTCTAATTGGATAAAACGAGATTCACAAGAAGTAGCAGAAACCGCAAAACTACGTTTAAACCGAAGACCATTTGAAATAAAAATAGCAACACCACCTCCTCTATTAGGAATTGCACCATCATTGCGAATCAGTTTGTAGCCTGGAATAGATACAGTAGAATCAGGAATTTCAGGTTAAAGCCATGTTTCAGAAACAGCAAATATATCTAAAACATTAGACTTGTTGTTCGGAGCTGACATTGGTTTGTGACCTCATATTTGTTGTTGCAAAGTTTCCGGGTACGGTTGCTAGCATGTTGGTATTGTGTTTGTTCTCAAGAAGTTAATCCGTGACACGGATTTGATTAGATCAATTCGTCTGGAACAGAATTTCCTAGAGTATATTCCCCAAGCACCGGTTCACTCTGCCCTTAATCCATTTACTAATGCGCGGAATTCTAGGAAGTATAAAGCTTGGCTTATTTCTATCTGTCTGTTCCTACAATTATTCCTCATGTACTGTTTGAACCAGTGTTACCTCGGGGAATTTTAAAAAAATTTACGCAAAAAGTAGTTTCCTCAAAAAAATGTCGCACAGAAAGAACCCTGGGTTTAACGTTACTTTGATCTTAACATCCAATGGTCGTACTATATCTAAGCATGTACTCCCTGTTGTTGTGGAATGTGGTGCAGTTCTGTATTGTCTTCGAAATTCGTTTAAATTCTTCTTTAAGGTGGCTCTCGTTGTACATATGCTTTTAACGCATTCTTCACCGTTTTAAAACTTTGCCCCGCCTATCCGTTGGTTACTGGAGGATGGGGAACAATGGACTTGTGATACTTTAAAGCAATTCTGATTAAATAACTTTTACTTCAGCGTAGGAAAAATTAGTTCTGATATCTCAAACTATCATTAATAGGACTCCATAGGTTACAAAAACGGCGTCAAGCTAAGCTGTCGTTGCAGCGGCCGTTATTGACTTCGGTAGTTTAGCATGTTTTGCGCAACATTCGCACTCTTTTGCAGCATTTTCACGCCAGGCTATTAACTAAATGAACGGACAATGCCTTTCATCTTCATCATTCCCAAATGAGCAACATGTGAGTCTTAAATTAAATCGCCTCCGAATCTAGAATGAATTACAATCCTTTGCTCAAATGTTAAGTAATGTGACAACAAATTGTAGTTTATTTCCGGTGATTTATAACCAGCTGTTGCCAAACATCGCCTCCGAATCTGCTATCTGTCTTGTTTTGGATATACATACTTTACTGATGTGGCCCAATTCACCACATACAAAACAGTTGGCGTTCTTGAACTTTAATCCTTTCGCGTATGACGATCATTGATTCCGCTGTTACCATAGGATTATATTTTAGAGTATTTTTTGTGTTCCTGGTAAGTAACCAATATTGTATGTAGGCTCGGTTGAGTCGTCCGTGTTAATTACTCTCCGAAAAGCTCAGTTGTTTGGCTATAATCTCGTTACAGATACTTAAGATCCTATACCAAAGAACACCTGTTCGGTACTATCAAGAAAGGATCCATACTCACTCATACTGAAAATTTTCCTTCAGTGTCTTGGCGTATTTGAGAAAATTTAAAACTTTCTGCATAAATATTTCTTCTTCGAAATGATTTATCAGTATAGACTTGATCACCTCGTAGTCAAATTCTTTCGGTTTCTTCGGTTTAATAAGTATTTACAAATTGTGAAATTCCTTCTGTTCGATTTTGTTCAACGTTAATGCCCAATCGAATCCTGCATCGGTACTTCTGTATTTGCTTCGTTGCATTTGTGTCTTTTGATGAACCGATTTGGCGTATGGCATTCACCAAACAAAGACTGAGTTGTTCCTGGTTCATTTTATGTACTAAATTTTTTTTATTTTAATAGTTTAAATTTGAAACTATTTATTCATTAAAAAAACTATTTATTTAATTAAAAATAAAACTAGAATAGAGTTGCCCTCTAGTAAATCAATTTCATTTCACATTATCAGTTAAAAAGTTTATTTTCATTGAACTATATATGTTTTTTTTTCCTTTCAGTTTTTTTGGAGGCGTAGAAATCTTATTGCAAAGCCACTTCTGCGCGAGGCTAACATTGGAGCTATTATATTGGAAAATCCCTTTTATGGAACCAGGAAACCTGACAACCAAGTGTAATGTATAAAAGCCAATTATTTTTCTATATTTATTTTTTATGGCCCACACACTATACTGCCGTACTGCTACTGCCGATGAATCCTTGTGCACGTGTGTGATTGAAGAGTGTGTGGTAGTAAATGAAGTCTGGCCCACGATCAAGTGTTATTCTCTTAATCTTTTAATTGGAATTAAAAAAGATCGTGATTTTGTAGTAGGGGAAGGTACCCTATGTATCATTTTATTGAGTCGAGAAAGCATTGCTGCTCTCGCTGAAGTAACCCATTAAATTCATCTCGGGTAATTTCAGTTGTCTTGGTTTATATTATATTCACCCGAACTGATCGGAAAAGACTATGGGGCAGTCAAATGACAGAATCAATACCAAAAAATGTCCAATTCTTCGGAATAAAAATGTTGCTAATGGGGGCATTCTTCGAAAAGAAACATTTGGTTTGGCCAGGACCCGTACAGGAAAATTTAGACGAAATATCTTAAGGATCAATGAACTAAAAATAAATGTTTGTGTTCAGTAACGACTACCGCACAATTGTAAAACGACCCAAGGGGGAAAATTCAGATATTGTTTATCAGAAATGATTTTCCTGGAATGGTCTCCATCCAATATTTCGCATTACAGAACCAGGAACCCATTTCGAATACAAAACAATATAATTATAATAAAAATGGAATAAAAATGTTGCTGATGGGGGCATTCTTCGAAAAGAAACCTTTGGTTGGGCACGACCCGTACAGGAAAATGTAGACGAAATATCTTAAGGATATTTTTACTGGTTTTGAATAAAGCAGACGTAATTTCGATATCCAGCTCGTTTAAGTGTGAAAAAGTCACCACGTAAATTAGCATTGCGAAAAGCAAATCATATAATTTTAAAATTTGAGAATATTTGAAATTTTTAAAGAAATATGTTCAAAAATATTTTTTACACTTACGTTTAAGGTTTGCAATTGAGCGGATCCGACTGTAAGTAATATCATGATTAATAAACGTATAAAGTCCAACAACACTAGGTTAGGTTGGGTTTGGCCACTTATGTGGCTGCAGCACTCTGAGACCGTTAAGTCCGTTGTGATCATCCACGAGAAGAAAAGAGGTTAGGACAGATCTATAGGGGAGAGAAGATTGGGGAAATAAAGGGAGTTGAGAAGCTTACAGAATGATATAAAAAAGGTAAGATTGGAATAAGACAGATAGACAAATGGTCGGTCAAATGGATCTCGACACGTTGCACGTAGGTTCGTTGTGTCAAAGTTTATAGGCTCTTTCATCAAAGAATGCCTCAAAGTTCCGGTAAAAAAGACATATGGGTAGTTTGGTTGAGTCATCTGTTGCTAGAACTGTGGATTGAGATCCTGGTCTAGCTAGTTCGTCCGCTCTTTCAAGATGTCACAATGTCCTGGTACCCAACACAACAGATATAAGTACTTCCAAAGCTGCTCTACACTTGAGGACGGCCTCAGATTTGATATAACAAGATTTAATAGCTTTAAGAGCCGCTTGACTATCCACAAAGATAGTCACCGGTTCAACGACCTCTGCATCCAGTCTTTTTATTAATTCCGCTGCCTTCCAAATCGCGAAGATTTCAGCATGGAAAACACTACAGTTGCAATCCAGCTTGTAGGTCATCTCAAGGCCTAGCCTTTCACAGTAGACGCCTGCCCCTGTACTTTCTTCCATATTGGACCCGTCTGTATAAAAGGCCAGACCGTCCACAGGAGGGTTACTTCGTTTCCAGTCATCTCTACTAAGAATAACGACATCTACATCGTCAAATCTCTGGATTGGTGATATATAGTCGCTTAGTTTAGCGCGTTGGTCCAATGCCATACCTGGTTCATTCAAAATACTACCATTCCCAAAGGTACAGTTCCGCCAGAGTTTTTGTTCATGCAGCCTTAGGGCGCTACGCGCGGCCTGACACTTAATGTGAGGTACTACGGGCCCCCCCGAAATGAAATCCTGTGTACGTTGCTGGCTCTTTGTACCTTATCTAATTTACGGGATGTCGACTTGTGGCGCAGACAGTTCCACCACACAAGAGAACTATGGAATAGGATGGGCCTTACGGTTTCTTGATGGGCCTGTTATACAACTAGTATATAGTCGATGGCTTTAGCCCCCAGCTTTTCCCAATGGAGTTCTTGCATGCATAGTGTGCAATCTGCTCTCTCTTCGCCCTTCCTAAGCGTTCCTATTCCATCGTAGTTGAAAGTCCAGGATTGTATCAAGGTACTTTGCTTCAGGAGATAGATGAAGTTGCACCCCATCCAGTGTTGGTGGAGCAAAAACGCCGAGCTTACGCTTCCTAGTGAACATTACCAGTTCCGTCTTCGTTGGATTTATACCAAGGCCATTTGTCCTGGCCCAGCGCGACAGCGTCAGTAAGGCTCTTTGCATAAGCTCCGAGATTGTAGACGGAAATTTTCCGGAAATCCTTATCATCACGTCGTCCGCATAAGCTACAACTTTGATACCTTTCCCGTCCAATTCCCTCAGTATAATATTAAATACCAATAGCCACAGTAACGGCAAAACCACCTCTCTGTGAGGTGTGCCTCTAGTTACCGTTTTCCTGATTTTTGTATCACCCACACTTGAATTTATAATTCTGCTGTTAAGCATTTTATCTATCCAATATGTAACGGTATCAGGAATGCCAACTACTTTGAGTGGTTTATGGATTCAAGTTTAACGTTGTTAAAGGCTCCCTCTATATCTAAGAAGGCGGCCAGCGTAAAATTAAAATTTTCAATGTTTCTCTCAATGTAGCCTACCACTTCGTGCTGTGCAGATTCCACAGACTTGCGCTTTATGTATGTGTGTTTTGAGTTGCTAAGAGAGGTGGTGAGCACCCAGGATTCCTTATGGCATCTAAGAAGAACGTCCGATAGATTGCCCACGGCCCCATTAAGTTCCACAGCTGTTCCTAAGTTTGTATTAAGAGTTCGTTAGCTCCGTGAATTTCTCCCAGTTTGTTTACCTCCGTCAAAAGAGACCTCGAAGAAAATCTTTAAATGATCCTAAAAGGAACATTCATCAGATACCCTCCAGTTGCTGATGACGGAGTCATCTAGATTTGAGAGGGTTAAGTCATTGACCTCCTCTCTATCCGTAATTTTAAAGGTCGCACCGCTACTCCTATTTCATTTACGTAAGGATAGAATTAAATCGAAAATGGACTCACCTCGTTTATTAGTGTCCTTGCTACCCCGTTGAAAGTTGTGAGCATTTGCTCGTCATTTCGTCAAGCATCTTTCGTACACTGTTGGTGGATCCAATTCCTCAAAAGGCATGTAGACGGAAAAGAGCAAAGTGGCCATCCCAGTCGAATGCTCCAGCCTTACCGTGCACATGTCACGATTGCTGTAATTAGATAGAAAGATTAGATTAAACTTTTCTTACCTAATATACATGTTCTCACCTCGTCCCTCATGGACGCGGCGAATATGTCAAAGTTGGCATTCCTTAATCAAGAAACCATATTTTTTTAAATATGGCTCCTGTACCAAGGCGATGTCCACTTCAGAGTTCGTGAGGGACACGAATTCGGCGGCTGCAGCCTTGTGATGATGCAGATTGATCTGCAGGATGCACAGCCTATGACGCTTTCCTACTCCTACTGAGTTTCGGTGGATGTGTTCAGTTGAAACCGAAACCATCCTGAACCGAAGTTAAATTTTCCTCACGCACCCCGAGATACGCCTCCCCCGGTGGATCAACCGCAACTCTTGCAACCATCCCCCATCCTCGTTACAGGGAGCTAGACTGACAACAGTCCAGTTCGATGTAGTGATGCTGGAATTTTGCAACGCCAACATTTTCAGCAGGAGCTCCTTGTCCACTGAAGGTGGGGGAACCCAGGCTGAAAGGACCCGTCTGGTTGGGATTTCGGATAGAGAGACCGCAGCAAGGTTGGCTCTGTAGGGGTTTTCCCACATTTAATTTGAACATTTAACTTTGCGTTTTTATTGAAACTAAGTAGCCTTAGATTTTGGTTTATACATATTTTGAATTCATTTAATACACATTTTTTCATTCTTGAAAATATTTTCAACTAACGAAGTTGGTTTTTATTAAAATAAATAATTATTAACATTTTATAATAAATTGTGTTTTAACCACAATTTGGTGACCCCGATAATTGAAATGGCTGAAGAAAACGTTCGCACATCGCAGTCAGGAGGAGATACGCATTTAGTTGGGGATTCTCATCCCTCGAATTCAATGCACATTTTTGCTGCTAGAATTGCAAAACTGCCCCCATTTTGGCGCGAAGAGCCAGAAATTTGGTTCTTACAAGTCGAATCCAGCTTCAATTTAAATGGAATAACGCAAGATTCTACTAAATATGAATATCTGATTAGCCATCTGGACCCATCAATTTTGTTTGTATTAAAGGATATCGTGGTAAATCCACCATCAACTGGAAGATACGCAGCAATGAAAGCTAGAATAAACATTTCGCTGAATCAGATGAGCACCAGGGTAAGCAATGAAATTATGCGCACGTTGTTTATGGACCGTCTTCCAGAAAATGTTAAATGCATCGTTGCTGTAACCGATACCATGGACTTAGATAATCTATCTGGTATAGCAGACAAAATTTACGAACAATTTTCAGCATCAACAACAATTTCCGAAATTTCTTCAAATAATAAAACTAACCAAGATTTATCCGGGTTGGATGGTAAGTTGAACGAGATTATCCATCGAATTGATGCGCTCGAACGACGCTCTCGTCAACACCAGGCGAAACAAATTGTGCAAGTCCCACGAGCTAGATCTAAATCTAGAAGCCGTAAAGACTCGGGTTTGTGTTGGTATCATTGGCGATTTGCTGATAAAGCATCAAAATGCGTTCAACCATGTAAGTTTCAATTATCAAAAAACTAGTAAAGCCATCGTGTGACAGTTCGGCGTCTCTCGGCGATGGTAGTAATAATCGTTTATTTATAACTGAACGCCGCACTAAAATAAAATACTTGATTGATT